GGTGCATCCAGGGCTGTCCGATCCATCTGTTTTAGTGACGGTGGTCCAGGAGAGGCCTGTTCGTGAGGGTTGCGATTCCTATGAGTCGGACCTCCGGGTGCAGACGCGTGGCGTTTGGCGTCGCACGCTATGGTCAGGCTCAATAGTTTCAGTGGTTCAGCGGTGGCCCCGTCGTCGACAGTTTCTGCACGGCGTGTGGGGCCAATACGGGGCGATGGAATTCCACGGCACCACCGTGAGTTGGTGGTACGGGAGGAGGAGATGGAAGGGAGGGAAATTGGCACCGATAACGACGAAGCCGGGGGATATGGAGTATTGCGTGTTATACGTAGTTGGGTAATCGGGGCACCTCGGATCGCTGGTTACGGCACAGTGAAACTCCCTGGGGCACAACCGGTTCTCGGTTAGGCAGGGAAATTCCGGATATCTCCGCCTAAGATACTCTCCCTCCCAGTGCTCGAAGTACCCTGAGTCCCGTGTGTATGTCATCTTGTTATTGCGGCGTTGTGGAAGCCTCCCGCACGCATCTGACTGACGGGGGGATTTCCAGATGTGGTGTCGGAAATTCCTGCCAGCTCAGGTGCTTGAGAGAAGGAAAATTCCTCCCCTATCCCGATACTGAAGGTGCCAGGTCCGTTAATCGATCGTGTAGGCTGCGCAAATCATAGCGCGCTTACATGTATTCCCACAAGGTGTTCGCTCGTACCCGGACCTGTTGGCTGTCGCAAAAATAAGAGTTAATTCTGCGTGCGAACCCGCCACGGGTCATGAACAACTATCCAATCATCTCATCATTCGGTGATCCCACAACAATCATTCCCGAGCATGCAAGGCGTCATTGCACACATTAGACATCGCAAAAACATTAGAACTCATATCATAACAATGGCGTATCAAAGTGACAAGCAATGATGATGGTTAGGCGAAAAGGACAAATATATCATTCCATCCGAACTCGTTCATCCTATACACATAAAAGAGGGAGGACTGAGACGGAATGAGACATCATACAAGGACCAATATTGAAACAAAAATGCCGAAGGGAAATGAGAGCGAATCGCTCGAGCCGAAATGAAAACTTATATACAAAACTAAAAGAAAAGACAAAGAAAATTGCAAATCCACGTCCATCAACCTCAACTCTCTCTTCCTCTCTCTCCCTCTCTCTCCGATGCGGCCAGTCCGTCGTCACGCACCAACCAGCGAAGTCGTCATCCCGCTTAGTCCTCCTGCATCCGTCAAGTTCGCCCCACTCGCGGTTAACGACCACCTGAAATTTCAGAATGAAAGATTCTGAAGTGGTCTGAAACCGCTGAAATGGCCTGAAGACACTTCAGGTCATTCCAGAAGTTTCGGGTGGTTTGCAGGACAAGTCTTATGGTTTTTTTTTTTTTTTTTTTTTGCCTGTTTTTTAAGCCACTTCAGGTCATTTCAGGAATTTTAGGTGGGGAACTGAAACCGCTGAAGTGGCTGAAGCTTCTGAATGGGGTTTCAAGTACCCCCATCCAAATGGTTGGATGGGGGTACCTAAAACCCCTTTTAGAAGCTTCAGCCATTTCAGGACATTTCAGGAATTTCAGGTGTGGACCTGAAACCGCTGAAGTGGCTGAAGCTTCTGAAAGGGGTTTCAGGTACCCCCATCCCACCATTTGCAATGGATCAACCTGAAAGTGGCTGAACTGCCTGAAGGCGGTTTCAGACAACCCCATGTATGGATCCACACACAATCCAAAAGTGTAGTAACCTAAAGTGGTTGAACTGCCTGAAAGGAGACCTAAAAATATATGCACCCGTTAACCATCTCTCGTTCGCCCGCTCATTACAGTCCGTCGTAGCCCCACGCGTCAACCCCGCGCATTCGGCACCAGCTCGTCGGGTCGCCCGACTCCCACTTCAACTTATCTCTTACATTGCTCATGAGTCGACCCTCACTGATCGCGCTACCCCGAGCTTCCAGCAACTGGTTAAGAGAGTTATCTAATCGCGCAACCGAAATTTATAGCGTGCATGCATGCGCGAAGAACACAAAATTGCAAGGACTTAGGAAGAGAGAAGGGAAGGGATTGCCTGCGTTCTGCAGGGCCAGACCGCGGCGTGGGGGACGTAGCCACTCTCCACGCATCGATCCGATCATGCAGCCCACGGACCAGATAGACACAACAAAGGAGAGAGAGAGAGCGGGAAAGACGAAGCTCAAGAAGAAAGATACAGTTACGAGGGCGCCCTGCCCAAAATTACGGTTACACGCAAGATTAAGGGCGCCGACTAATCAGAGCTCCGTTGCAGCCGCAAAAAGAAGCGCACGAGCAAAAAGGCAACGCGCGGCAAAAGAAATCCTGAATTCCTAAATTTCTAAATTCCTAGCTAAAGAACTTCAATAAAACGCAAATTCCGAAAAGAAAGTTCGAAATTCCAAGAGCCATCGAGGGCTCGACAAGATTCGAAAAAAGAAATTCAAAAAGAAGCAAAACTCCCCGTGCGATCTCCGCGCCGAAGACCTGACAAAAGAACAAGAAAGGAACGACGTCAAACATTATTAATCGCGCCTTTGTCGGCGCGACAACCACTCAATCGGCCATCTCGGGACTTGCCCGACCCAGCCATCCAAAAAGAAGCGACGCAAAAAGATGAAGAAGCGAGGACACCGACACAATTTCCCTTCGATCCCGATCTCCCGTAATTGGCCCATCCTTCCCATCTTAGGACCCCTCATTGTCGTCGCGCAGAAAATCGCGCGACACAAAAAGTAGTTCGTCATATATGTGACGCCCAAGGGGTTTTAATCTTAAGCAAGCTCCCGCTTGCTTGACATCACAACACGTGTCGATCTCTCTAATCGGTCGACGCGTGGAGCTCTCTACGTTGCCACCTACCGTGTGAAAAAGTGTGGAAGTCATCCGGTGTGGCAAACGTGGCTCTCTCCTATAAATTCCTCAGGAAGGGCTCTCTTCAATCATAGGAGGGGATTATATGTGCCATCGCCGTGGCACGCGCCAACCAACGGTGCATCAATAACCGCCAGGGAGGGGGAAGGGGAGGCGATACACGGGGGCATGGCGAGGGGGTGGGTTAGTCGGGAGCGGGGGTAGGAAATTTTCTATTCCCGCCACTGTCACCGGAAGCTCCTGATATCGGATGATCTGATGAAAGCGAGGGAATCGGGTACCACTATGAGGAAGGAATGCGAGATAGTCAGGGTAGAGGGTGGTGAAGGTTCGGAAGAGTGCCATGCGGAAGCGATCGTGGTTTTCGCATGCGGGGATAGTCCCTGTAATCATGCAGTAGACCTCGATTATGTTGTGGGCCCGCCACGCGGCACTGAAGAGAAGGACATGAAGACAAAAGACAGGGGTGGCACACCGAGTAGAGGGATGCGGGTGTACTGTAACGGCAAGGCGGGTGGCGTAGAAGAGGCGGAAGGCTATGTGACACCCGCGGCCATTTCGGCCGCTGCGGCCGAGATTCTCGATCGCGGCC